GGGCAAGACGGTGGCCGATGCCACAGCCGCGGCAGGTCATCTTTCTGTGCTGCGCTACTTTCACGACCATGGCTACGAAGGCGCGACGCGCACAGCCAATCAACGCGGCTGCGCGCTACGGCCATCTGCCCGTGGTCGAGTACCTCGTCGCAACGTGCGGCCTCTGGTCTGCGAACGCCATCGAGTGGGCGGCCCACTACCGTCACACCGCCCTTGTACGCTATCTCGCAGGGCCGAGCGATCGGCGGCACGTCCAGGCCGCGCTCCACGCAGCCGTCGACCGCGGTGACGTTGTGATGGTGCGCTCGCTCGTCAAGACGCGACCCGACGTGGGCCCTGCGTGGTCCATGCTCCATGCGCTTCTGCGCCATCACATCAACCTCTTTTACAAAGCGTTTCTCAACGAAAAGTGAATGGGGCTAGGTAACAGCACAGGTAGTTAAATTAGTCGCGTGGGATTTCACTGGATAAAGCACCACGGGTGGCGGCGGCGTCGCGGCGTCTCCTTCTTGACCTGGTCTTTGAGGATCGGGACGAGCACGCGCTCTTGGCAGTCCTTGGCGACGTCGAGCGCTTGCGCGGTCTGGAAGGTCGCGACGCGGTGGCGGCAAAAGTACGTGACGATGTGCGAGAGCCCGTGGGCGGCCGCGAGGTTGACGGCGCGCTGGATGAGATTGTCGTCCGTGCTCTCGACGACCCGGAGAAGGCGCAGATCGCGGCTCGATCGCTTCCGGAGCCGCCACCGGTCGAGGACGCCGCGGCGCGGGCATTGCACGGTCTCAAAGACGTAGCCGTGCTCGATGAGAAAGTCGCGGATGGCGCAGCGGCCGTCCGACTCGTTGTCGTACACAACGACGCACGGCCGGTCCCACGAGAGGTCGAGGTGGTAATGCAAGTACTCGGCAATGTCCAAGTGGTTGTGCTCGCACGCGAGGCGCATCGCATCCGAGTCGGCGAGCGATCCAAGCTCGTGGAGGTAGCGCACGATGCCGAGGTGGCCGGCCGCGACAGCGACCGAGAAGACGCGCGTCGAGTAGCCCTCGTAGCCGTGCGCCATCAAGAACTCGAGCACGTCGAGGTGGTCAAAGTACGCGGCGTAGCACCAGTGCGGCGACCGGACGTCGAGGCGGACGTGGGTGCTGAGGAACTCGAGCAGCGGCACGTTGCCGTAGAGGACAGCGTAGAAGACGAGGTGGTCGCGGTAGCTGGCGCGATGCTGCAAGAGGCGCCCGAGGCCGTCGACGCCGTAGCGCTCAAACCACGCGGGGAAGAGCGCGTGGATCGGCGCGAACGCGCGGCGGCGGCGGTCGTCCTCTGGCGCGACGCCGGCCATGGGCCCGTACACCTCGGTGGGCAGCGCGTGGTCGAGGAAGACGGCGAGGGGCACGAGCTCAAAGGGCCAGCCGACCTGGTACGACGCGACCTTGCGCACGAGCTCCGGCGTCCGCAGCACGTAGTCGGCCATCACAAACTGCTGCGATTGGGCCGTCGCCGCCCACAGTGGGTGTAACGAGGCGAGAAACGCGGTTCGATTTTCGCCAGTTGCACTGTCTGCCGCTGGCTCTTGACACGCGACCGGCGTGCACTCGGACCAGGCCTCGAGCTCACGGACAGAGGAAGCAGCAGCTTCCTCACGCATGCGCGCCCTCGACCACGTCGGCGGTGTCTCCTTGGAACAGTACACTGTACGACCACATGGGGCGGTTGTGGTCGGTACATGTACAGTAGTGGGTGACGCCAGCGCCATCACGCCCACCGATGACATGTCGCCGCTGCAACGCGCCGTGAGCTTGATAGAAAAGAGCGTTTGGCTGCAAAGGGCGCGCTCTTGGAACCCGCGCGACACGCTCTGGCGTTCTGTCAAGGACTGCAGGCGTGTACAGTACATGTCCATGCGGACCAGTTGTCTGCGATGGTCACTGGTACATTTCGATAGATAGATATATATTGAGCAGAGAGAGGAGGAAGACGTCCAGGGCTACAGCGTGGATGGGTGTGTGTGCTGCAGCAGGAGCGCGTGCATGGCGCGGCGCTTTCGAGAGGCGGCGAGGGTCGCGAGCGCGTGCATATCCAAGGCTGCTGCATGCGCTTGTACGAGGTACGCGACGACGTCGCGGTGGCCGCGAACGACAGCTTCTTGGGCGGCGACAGAAACGTCAACGCTCTCGCCGTCGTCGAGGAATCGCACGATCGCGACGTGGCCGCTGCGCGCCGCTTCAAGAAAGGCCTGAGGTACGTGGCGGCGGTCGCGTGCTGCGAGGTATTGGACGACGTCAAGGTGGCCGCACTTGGCCGCCATCTCGAGGTGCGAGACATGAAAGCCAAAGGTCGCCGACGCGTCAAAGTCTCCAAGACCTGCGTCCAGGAGAAACCGGAGTACGTCCAGATGGCCGTGGACGAGCACAAACATGAGCGTGTTAGGGTCCCACGCGCCGAGTCCGTGCGCGTGCAGAAAGCGAGCGACATGGGCGTGGCCGTTCGTGCACGCCTCGTTGAGCGCGTCCTTGGCGGGCAGGATCCCGTGGGCAAATAGGCACTGGACAGCGGCGACCGCACCCGTCTCGATCGCATGAGCCATCACGCGCTCGTCGCCGCCGTCGTAGTGGCGATCGAGGAAGAAGCGCAGTACATCAAGGTGCCCGACGTCGACGACCAAGGCCCAGTCCACCGCGCTGAGACGCACGGGCCCGGCCGTGTCGAGGAAGACGAGTACGTCGAGGTTGCTGTAGACGACTGCGTAGTAGAAGAGATGGCGATGCAGCGACGCGGGAAAGAGGCCGAGGCTCGAGGTGCCATGGCGGGCGAGCCACGGCTTGAGGCAGTCGTGGACGGCGGCGAGCTGGCGCTCGTAGCTGCCTCTGCGCAGACGGACGCATCGAAGCAGGCGGGTCGGCGGCAACACGTCTGGATGCAGGCCGTCCTGGAAGGTCGCGATCGCATGCACGAGGTCCTTCGTCCGGAGCACACGGAGCATTCTCGGCGACTTGGACTTGGGTGAATTCGTCTTTGACCGTGCAGAAAGTGCACTTTGGTATGTCTCAGTGAATCGCTGCATCAGATTGGCTGAAATGCGAGGCAAAGATCTCGTGGTTTCTAAACCTACAAAACCTTGCGATCTTGGTGCCCTAGGCTTAAAATCTTGGTCACGCCTTGGTTGGTGGCTCGCTCTGCGATCGTATCAATTGAGTGTTGAGGTCCTTTGTACGCGCATGGAGCAGCGGCGCACAATAACTAGCTCCAACGAGAAAGTTACCTACGTTTATACAATGGAAATACTGCTAGAATTGATTTGGCGCCCCCAGGTGCACATCATATCGGCGATTTTCGCGGCCAATGCATTGTTCCAACCAGCTCTGAATGCACGCATTGGCCACCAACTCGCTTAATTGCAACCATGTCTACAGAAAGGATAGTCGCAGTCGATTGAAAATGGAGGCTTTTCGAATTCTATGACCGTACGTTGAACATTCACCGGTTTGGCGATGAATCGACAGCTCCAGGAACTGTGTCGTCAATTGCACGCTCCACACGCACACGGACGGCGATGGCCGGCTGAACTTGGAGAGGCGCTGCCGCGACATGCGTTTTGGCACTCATGCGTTTGCAACACCATACGAGGCAGCCAATGCCAGCGAGAACGACCGCACCACCAGCAGCCCCGATGATAATGAGGGTAGTGCTCCCGCTCAACCCGCCTAGTGTCCCACTCGCCGGGTCGACTGTTGCAGTAGACGGAGCAGCGGTTTGGCTGGCTGATGGTGACGGCGCGCTTGTTGTTGGTGCACTCGAGGGTGGCGACGTTTGGGGTGCGACGAGCAATACGACTTGCGAGCTGGTGGCCACCCGGTTTTGAACGAGGGCCATCGCGAGAACGCTCGGTTGCATTTCCAGTGTTTGCCACGCGCTCGCGGCTGCGGCCGCCACGGAAAACACGACCACGACGCCGGCGGTGCTGAGCTGGCGTCCTCGACTACGCACCCATTCTTCCGTGACACTGACAATCGTAATGTCTGCAGCGCTGACGGGAGAGCCCAGCTGCGCAAAAGTTTGTGCCACGGCCGCGACGAACGCCGTCCGGGCAGCGCCTGTGAAGCTCTCGACGGTTGGGCCAGCAAATGACAATGACGCTTGTCGTTGCGGAGGAGCTAGTACGCCACTAACTCGAGCAAAGGTACACGTTGCGCCCGTGTAGCTAGCGGCGCACTTGGAGCAAAGAAGCGTGACCCCCGCGGCATCGCACGTGGTTTCAGCGTTTGAATCGCACGTCGAGGGAGGCGTGCAGGCGTTTTGGCACCGAGATCCCCAAAAGCCAGTGGCGCAGGAAGAGCATGCGACGAGGGAGCCGTCGCCTCCGTCGCACGTCACAGTGCTCGTGGTAGCGCATGGCGACCTCGCAGTGCACGAGTATTGACATGTGCGCCCCCAGCTGCCAGATTGGCACGCTTGACACGAATCGACGGTGCCACTGTACTGGTCGCAAGACAGCGTACCGTTCGATGTGCATGTTGTAGGCCGTGAGCACGAGTACTGGCAAGCGCTGCCGTAGTAGCCTGGACTGCACTCGCCACAAGCAACCGCGGCGCCGGTGGACTGGTGGCACGTGACCGTGTCACCAAAAGAGCAGGTCGCCGGCGCGACGCAAGACCACTGGCAAGCGCTGCCGTAGTAGCCTGGACTGCACTCGCCACAAGCGACCGCGGCGCCGGTGGACTGGTCGCACGTGACCGTGTCACCAGAAGTGCAAGTTGCCGGCGCGATGCAAGACGACTGGCACGCGCTTCCCCAGTAGCCGGTCTTGCACGCACTGCACGTCGATGCAACGCCGTTGCTCTGAGCGCACGTGATTTGACCGCTGGAAGAGCACTCTGCAGGCGCGGTGCATGAGTACTGGCAAGCGCTGCCGTAGTAGCCTGGGTTACATTGTCCGCAAGTGACCGCGGCCCCGGTGGACTGGGTGCAAGTGACGTTACTGCTGCTGTCACAAGTCGCCGGCACCGTGCACGGTGACTGGCAAATACTTCCCCAGTAGCCGGTCTTGCACGCACTGCACGTTGATGCGACGCCGCTGCTCTGCGCGCAAGCGGTACGCCCACTGGAAACGCACGCTGCAGGCGGTGTGCACGCGTACTGGCACTGGTTGCCGTAGTAGCCGGTATTACATTGCTGGCAAGACACGGCGGCGCAGGTGGACTGGCTGCAAGTGACAGCATCTCTAGAACCCCCGGCGCAAGTGCTTGGAGCGGTGCACGAGTACTGGCAGTCACTGCCGCAGTAGCCGGGGTTGCACTTCGCGCATGTGATGGCGCCACTTGAACTATCGCACGTGATCAGACTGGTCGGGTCGCAGTTGCTGTAGCCGGTGCACGTATACTGACAAACGTTGCCCCATTGACCATCAACGCACGATCGACAAGTGCGGACCACGCCACTGCTCTGGTCGCAGGTGCAGACAGAGTCCGGTGCACACTGCAGAGGTGGGGAACACCGGAATTGACACACACTGCCCCAGTAGCCGGGAGAGCAGCCAAGGTTGAGCGCTTTGTTAACCGCGTGCTTGTACTCGTCGGTCTCCGCCCTCGCGTTGATGTACGTGGCCAATGCCGAGAACGACGGGTACACGTCGGACACGGCAACTGGCGTCATCACCGTGAGCGCCACTGCGCCCGTCGTCGTGCTGATGCTTTTAAGCGCGAAGAGGTTGGCCGTAAAGGCAGGGAGACCAAGTGCTTGACCCATGGCAGCCAAGAGTTGCGCCTGCAACGTGGTCGATAACGACAAGGTGTTGGCGTCGGAAGGGTTCAGTGTGATGGTGAGCGTCAATGTGTACGGTGGTGCGTAGCAGAAGCTGAAGCGCGACACGTTGGTACTCAATGACGGGATCGACACTGGCCAGTTGTAGTCGAAGTCGAGCGGGCTATATTCGAAGCTAAAATATCCTGTCACGACGACATCGCGGCGACCAGAAAAGATGGCAAGCTCCAAGAGATGCGGCACGGCGCAGTTGCCAAACGTGAGACTTTCCGGCGTGGACGGGACTACCGCCGTGGACGCGAGGGCGGGGAGTACGCCGCCCTTGCAGAACAGCTGCACAAAGTCGCTCCACGCCACGTCCACACCCAGCGTCAATCCAGCAGCGCTCGCGTAGAGGCCTACCGTCGTGCGTTGGTCGTATATAAAGTTGAAGGCGACATATTCTCCGCGTTGCGGCGCTTGGGTCGTCGTGGCCACGTCCACACTAGTCTGCTGCGACTTGCCCGACCTCGAGTCGTACGCGGCGGTGGCCACGAGATTGGAGAGCGTGACCGACTTGGACATGACAAAAGGCGTGGCGGACGTCGTCATCGTGGCGGTATAGGTTTCCTCCAACGCGTATTCGAGGGTGAATTCGACGTCGAAGCCGAGGAGATTGAGCGCCGGGTATGTCAGCGATATGTCGACGAGCGAGACGGTGCGCTTCCACGTCACGCCGTCCGGGGCGTAGAGCGAGAAGCCGGCGCTGGCAAATCCAGAACCGTACAGCGTGGCACTGCCCGCGACCCACGCGGATGACAAGGACACGTCGTAATCGAGCGAAATTTGGATCTCGTTGACCGTAAATGTGTACGCGCAGTTGGCGCAGCCCACGCGGACGCAGCCCGAGCCAGACGGCGCGTTGAGGAAGTTGCCCGTACCGCAGCCCGCGCTGCGGTACAACTCGATGTCCGTCTTGTCCACGGCGCCGTTGACCATGTTGTACGTCATGGTGCGCCCGATGCTCGGGATGCAGCCACGCTTGTAGCCACAATCCTTCCACGTGCTGTCAACGTTGCACATAAAGTAGAGAGAGCCAGGACAGTCTCCAGACGAAATCCTCCGCGTCGAGTCGAATTGGAAGCACTGGTCCGCCGCCAAGCCGTACGCGCCGCACACGGTCGTGCACTCTCGCACGGGGTTGTACTTGAGCCCAGATGGCAGCGCGCAGTTGTGGATAAGGCCGCACGCCTTGGTCGTCAGAGATTTCGTATACATCCAATACTGCGAGCCAGGACAGCTCCATATTAGGTATTCGTCCGACACGTACTGGAAGCACTGGCTGTCGCTTAGATCGTATGCACCACATCCGGTCGTGCACTTGTAGTTGGGGACGTAAGAAAAGAACGTGTGCGTGACCGTATCGAGGCGGCGGCTAGTTCCCGCCGCAACTGACGCCGTCGCCGTCTCGTTCAGGTCGAACTGGTTGGAGCGGTAGTGCATCGACATGGTCGCGAAGGATGCGTTGAGCGCCGCGGGCGAGACCACAAGGCGCAGGACGCGCTCGTCTGCGAGCACGACCATCTCGAGCACGTGCAGCTGCGCCTGCGCCGCGAGCACCCCGTGCGCATTGACGCAGCCCCAGCGCGAAGACACGAGAAGGATCTGGCCCGGCCCGTATGGAGTCACGTTCTCTACGCTCTGCACGACCAAGTCCACGGCACTGCCGTTGGCAGCGTACACGCAGTTTACGAGCGAGATGGCGTTCGAATCGGCATCCAGGTTCCAAACCGTTTTGCTGATCGAATAGTTGTATGAGACTTGGGTCCGAGGCGCCGCCGTCTCGTTGAGTGTGCCAAGGCCGCCGGGTAGTACGAGGATCGATCCCGACACGAACTGCCCGTCGGGCCACGTGGTTTCGTTCAAGCTGATAGACGCCGTCACGGCCGCCATGGCGTCGGGGAGAGACTCGTAGACGTCGACGGTAGTGTCCTCGGGCAAGTCGTGGCGCCACGAGTCGTTGAGCATCGAGGTCGGAATCGGAGTACGGGGGATATCCGCGTTAATTTGGCTGAACCACAGCAATGCGAGGAGGAGTGTGTGAAGGTCCATGACCGCTGGCTGCGCAAGCGGATATTGGAGACGAAAATGGTTACTGAAGGCGGCTTTTCGCGACCATCGTAATTTATATCTCGAGCGTTCTGTCGCATGAGGATATGGACATCGAGATGTTTGTATCGTCTAGAGACGCGCAGGTGCAACTCCTCGTACAAAAACTATCCTTCTCGTTGTCGACCTTTCTATTTTTCTAGTCTTCTGTAACGACTGGCATCGGTAACCACCGACTGGCCGGTTGCTCGGTCCACTCGGAGCCGACAGGGCTCCTTTATTGCCCCCCAAAACATCTTTGTGACACCACACGGCTATTTCTGCGTTTTTCCAGCCGTTCCGCAAGCGAAACCAACCGACGAGTGGCCGCATCCTCAGAGGCGCGGCCGTCGGTCATCCAAGCCGTGGCAGAAGAAGGCCTCGTCAGTCGACGCCTTCGCCTGCTGCGAGCCGTGCCATCAGACCAAGCGACGCTGAGCGATGAGGAACTCATCGCCACGCTGTACAATACGACGTATCCGAGGAAGACGACGACATGCTCCACCCAGCCAACAACAA